GTGTGCTTGGACAGAATCCACAAAGCCAGGGTAGTGCATCTTCAATTAAAGTGCATGTGTCCTGGCAGCTACACACAGGGGAGAAAGCAGCAAGTGACCTTAGGCAATAACAGATTTCTCACAAGAAAAGGACTTCTGAGTCCATTATTGCACCGGGTCATGGGGGGAAAACTGAAGTAGAAGGTGGATTGTTGTATTCAGGGCTCCTAAAAAGGAAGATGCATTGTGTACTTTGTGTCACTAAAAAAGAAAAGAACAGGAAGCCAGCACTATTAAATAACTTACTCCAATGAACTGAGTAATGAAACAATATAACAACTAGAAAACCACAGAAATAAACCGTGAATTAATGACTCTCAAGAGAAGCATTGGGAATTAAGACAAAGTTTAACAAACAAGTCATCAGTAGCAAGACAAATTGCCAGCTACCACACCACGTACCATTTTGAGGCAGAAGGAAGCTAACTACCCAGCTGGTAAGGCACTACTTGATGAGATATTTTGTAAGTTTACTAACTTAGTTCAAAGGTGAAATTCTAGCCCCACCGAGCTGGAAAAGTGAGGCCAATGATAGTGGACGGCAGAGGATAGCTCACTCTATACACATCCTGTCCATATGCTCACCTCTAAACCATCCACTACGGCCACCATCATAGACAGACTACTGGGCTAGATGCACCAATGGTCTGATCCAGGATGGCACTTTCAGTCCAAACATTTCCTTTGTCTAGCTGAAATCTCTCTACTATTTTATTACCAGCTTATGGCTGGGTAGGGTGGCACCTTAGGACATTTTTACATGTGCTCTGGGCGTGCGTGTGTGGTGCTTTAATTGGAGAGCCTGCAATCCCCACACTTCAAAATGGTGTTGGGAGTGCTATATCTAAAGCTCATCAAATGAGCTTTGGTTAAAGTGACCCCAATGCCATTTTGAAGCGCAAGAACACAGATACACAAGGCGAGGCTACTACAGCCAGTAATTACCACGCTCCAGCAGCCTCAATTAATCGAGTCTGCTCTGATACACTAATTACAGTGCATCGGAGCAGCCTCCTGCCATGTGCACAGGCACCCTTAGAGACTAACTGGTTCAGAGGTATAAGCTTTTGCAGGTGACTGCCTACTTTGTCTTATGATTTCAGCTTTCGTAGCATCTGACGTAATAGGTTGCCATCTGCGAAAGCTCATGGCTCTCTGAACCAATCTCTAAAGTGTCACCCAGACCTGAGTTCAGACTAGCGCCGCCACCTTTATCCCCTTTTAATTATATGATGTGAATTATATCTGTACAAAGACTGCAGAAAAATGTTTATCTTCATAACATCTCAAACTGAACTGTAGAGACTGCTTTGCCCGATCCCTTGCTGTTCGATTGGCAGTAATAAAATCTTGTTCAGCCAGCGTAAGTAGTCTCAAGTAACCTCTCGTGGAAGAATGAGGCATGGGGGTCATTTGATTGGGAACGATTTGATACCTTTTTGCAATCTGTTAGGGGATGGAGGTGCTTAGCCATGTTAGTCTGAAGTCAGGCAGAAGACAGGGTTAGATTTGCACCTTTATATACAGCTCCCATCTAGGTAGTGTATAGTTTAATAACAGCTTATATCAAACCCAAAAACAGATCAGGAGGACGGTAGGGCAGATTTGCCCCTTTATTGACTAGAGATGTACAGCATAAACTTTTGTAAGCAGAGGGATGCTGTGAAGGGAGTGCAGGGAGCAGAGCTGCTTTAGAAAGCAGTGATGAGAGCCCATAGGTAGGGAAGGGAGGAGAAAGGAGCGGAGGAAGAGCTGCTGAGAGAAGCAAGGTATGCACAAGAGGAAAAAAAAGCAGTCGACTCGTAGGTCTTTTAAAGGCTAATCCAGGCAACGGGATAAGAATCCCTAATCTTAGTTTAGGCTATACTTGATGCATACATGAATGAACACCCATCTGGCATCAATACCAGGAATACAGACGCCTCTGGCCAAACACTTTAACCAGCGGGATCTTCCATCACTGACCTCATAGCAGCTGCTCGTTGACAGCAAAAATTTAAAAACAAACTAGAATGGGGAATCATGGAACGAGAAATCATCCAGACTGGATTGTGTTAAATACGGTCTAAAACTGAGATGACCGATTCTTATCCCGTTACCTGGATTAGCTTTTATAAACCATATGTTTTACGGGTTAAACTGCTTTCTAGCTCCCCTCCCCACTCACCTTGCATCTCTCAGCATTGCCAGCTCCTTTTTTTTTCCTCCATGCTTCCCAACCCTTTGTATTCACTGCTTTCTGTTTAGCAGCTCTGCTTCCTGCAGTCCCTTCACAGCATCCGATGAAGCAAGCCCTTTGCTTACTAAAACTGATGCTATACATCTCTAATTTAATCTATATAAGTGCTTGATGCAGTTTTGAGTTTGACATAAGCTTTCATTAAACTAAACTGTTTTAATCTTACAAGTTTCAGCTATAGTTTTTTGGCTGAACATTTGAAGTTTCTATTAAGCCTATTTCATAATTTGTCATGTTGAATAACAATGTCATTATGCATTTTTTTTTAAACAAGCAACTTGGCAATGCACAATACGACTCCATAATGAGACACCTTTATGACTGCTCTTGGCTAGATTTTCAAATATTTTAAAGTATGAGACCATTCTACACAAGGTTGATTTTTGCAATCATCAAAAAGTCTGCCTGGATATAAGGGTAAGTGCACACAGTTCATCGCAGGATCCCACAATGCATGACCCCTTGTTATTTTAGCAGCATACATGTCAACTGCAAACACCTTCAATCATTTCCTTTACCAAGACCTTTTCTTATTAGTGTTAAACCAATGGAGACGACCTTGACCAAATTGCTGATCTACTAGGAAAAATACAAAAAGATCCTGAGTCTGTTCAATCAATGTGTGTTATTTTTAATTTTGGAACTCAAGTTTTTTGCTTGTGTGTGTTCAGAAGCAATAGAGGCTAGTTTCTTGGAAAGGAATAGCCTGGATGTTTTCATTGCAAGATAGGCAGTTTAGCTCTAAAGTAATACAAAACCCCAAAATAAATTAAATGAGGGGGGAAAAAAGGGGTGGGGGGAGAAATACTTTTGGAAATTGTTTTCCTTTGTGGGGAGTTTAAATCATTTCCAAACATCATGGTTTTAAATCTGATTCTAATTTTTTCTTAGGTAGAAATTTAGTTTCACCTTACACCTATTGTTTTGTTTTTTTTAATCCTAAAATTATTAATACCTGCAGGTTATTCAGGGGTTTGCCAATTTGAAACATTTGCTTCAACAACATCTAGCAAGAAACCTGACTTCAAGTTTTTCCCTAGTTCCTCCCAGGACATTATTATGAGGTCTCACGATAATTCAAAATCCCACGACTTATTCCCTGCTTTGCACTTACAGCCGTCATAGAAGCTGTACCTAATGAAGAAAGGCTCAGGTTTGGGGAAAATGCACACACACTGGCACAATTAATAGACAGACTAGCAGGTAGACTGAACAATCCATTACACAGAGGTCCAGTATATACCAATATATACTAGTGCATTAACTTTGTGATAGGAGTAACGTTATAGTAGGCTTAACCGTGCTGCTGGAGCCAAACCACCACTACACTCCAGAAGAAACTCACAAGGAAGAGCAAGACAAGACCCACATAATCGGTGAGAGTATTTTCAGAGAGCGGCCACTCTGATCTCATAGTCCTTGTCCTAAAGGAAAGCCTACATAATATCTTCAGGAATCCCTAAGTTAACCATCACAACACCATGGTCTAAACAGAGAGAACAGTTTTATGGCCCATCATAACTCGCCTGCCATGTCTCCCTCTGCTAACTCCTCTTCACTCCACAGGTGAGAACTATCTACTTCTCTTTAAAGTGGTTCAGCTGGTTAACTTGAATAGTTTAGAGCAGCTTTGCTCAACCCATGAGTTGCAACCCAAAATTGGATCACAATATGAAAGGGTTGTGAACAAACTTTAGAAATGGATTCTCCTTTAGAGGAGAAAAACATGGGAAACTGGGGCTACTTGGAGCCCTCCATGCCCCCCGCTTGCCCTGGCTGGGGCCTGGGAGCAGTGGGTTGGGAGTGAGGGGCACTGGGTTGGGACAGGCCAATGTTTACTAATGGGTCCTGGTAGAAAAAAGGTTGAGAACCACTGGTTTAGAGAGAGAAACATTGTTTTAGCTTGCACTTAAGTTAGATAGTGACCGCTTCTCTCAGACCAGATGAACAACACTTGATGCCTCTGAAAGCTTGCCTCTTACCTTTATCAGCTATGTAAGTTGGGCTAATAAAGCTATTATCCCTCCTCACAAGCCTTGTTTTACTCATATTCTTCAACCATAGTGGTCACAACACCACCATCATTCCAACTAGTAGGATATACGAGCCATAATAGGTCATCCTCCAACCAAGAGATTGCTGCCACCACCACCAACTACTCCCTCTTTGTAAGAATTAAGAGTATAGCATCAGGCTCATCACCTCTTAAGATGCAAGATACAGCCATAAGCATTGTGAGGCAAGCGTATGCTGCTGCTACCATGCCCTTGTATTAAACTCTCAAAGATGATTACAAAACTCTCATTGGATTTTGGTGCGGCCAGTAAGTTTATCCATAGTTTGTCACAGAAATATGGAACTGTATTTGGCATGTAGATAAAAGTAATGAAGATGCTTTTAGTATACCATCCACATCAGCTTTTAAGAAATAGAAACAAGTATTCTTAATTTTTAGGAAAACTTAACCAAAACTGCCTGTAATGCATGCAATGCAGAGCCTTCTGGCATGCCATGTTGTGTTGATCTCAGTTTCCTTCAAGATCACCAGGGTTAGAAAAGGCCAGGAATCATGTGCAAAAAATATCAGCAACACTAGAAATCACCTTGGTAAGTTAGGACTTAGCTCTTTGCGTGGGTATTGAGCCGATCAGAACAAATTTAAAATGTCTTTAGAAAATGTTAAAAATATTTACAAAGCAACGTCTTCACAAAATGTGGTGTTAGCGGTGAAGTTTTATTGGATAAGTTTCAGAACCAAAACCTTGATATTTGAATACATGAAAAAATTGACGGCGCTTTTAAGAGATGGAGTCGTTAATTCTGTAGTGTTCTGACCAAACTACTGCCAGTGAACTCGGACTGTGCATATCTAAATTTCCTCTGCAGCATCAGCGATTAATTTCCAGGCTCATATACAGAGATAGCATTTCAAATGTTAGACAGTTGCATAATTACATTACCACATCGCTTACCTATTTTAGACTGTGGGAAGCATGTATATTTTTAAAAGCACTTTTAGGTCCTTTAGAAGGAGCTATAGAAATGCAGTTTTGGCATAGTAAAGCATGGGAAACTTTTCAGACATGTAACTTGAGAATAAATGAATCTTTAAATATGACTTAATCAATCAATGGGAAAGAAACATGCTCTAAAACTGTGGACAGAGAAGATAAATTCACTGAAGAAAAAAACTAGCTTAGAGATTTTTGAGAAAGCACAGTGATGAAAATTGTAAGATCCGAAATAAATTCTCTGTATCTATGCATAAAAAAGTGAAAAGTCATTCAGTAGCTATTAAATCCTTAACAGGAAAGCTGAATATGCATTGAAGGAGAAGAACATTTGGAGGGAAACAAGTAAGTGTGGTATAATAACCCTACTTTAAAAAAAAGGTATGAAAAAAGATATTTATACTTTCTATAGAGAAGGGGGTTCTGAATACCGCAATAGATTAATCTGCATATGCAGCATCTAAATTTGTCGAGTTTCAGTAACTAAAAAAAAAGCAATATCGAGTTGAAACATGTCTGGCATATGGGATGCAGTCAGTTGAACTCACAGTCAGCATTATGAAAAGATATGTAAAGGTTAAAACTATCATAAGTTTATTCGCGTTACAAATGGTCACAAACACAATTAATATGAAGCAGAGGAAACACGTCTGGTAGGTACAAGAGCGCAGATTTCTCAAAACAAAAGTCTTGTGTGAAATCCCACCACTGTAAAACATGTCTGACCTTATAATAGTGGAGAATATATTCCTCAAGCTTTAACGTTATGATCACAATGCACCAGAGTGAATGAAAGAAGGAGCACTATAACAGCCCACATTGACTGTGGTCTTCATAAGAAAGTAATCAAAGACAACTGAAACTGGGCTTACGCTGTATTTGCTAATCAGTCTTGCTTGGGAAGAGTTGTGTACACCCAGACTGGGCAGTAGTGTAAAAAGTGTAGCACGAGCTTCTGTGCAACTCCCTTGTTGTTGTGTTTACTTGTCTGTGCTACAGAGTAGATAAAGCATCTCCAAAAGTCTACTGTGGGACCAGTGATAAAAGACTTCAAGGCAGGGCACTCTTATTTGCTGCGTAGACAGCAAAGAGTCACTGGAGGAACGTAAGAATGCATTATTGCTTTATACCAGCGTTTTAAAATGGAAAATCTTTATTAACTTCTACATAAAAAACGTTGTTCATTATTAAGTAATTAAACAATTAAAAACGGTCTCAACAATTGTTAAAAAATAAAGCATTTATATGTTGTACACTTTACTAGTACAGTACACAAAATAGTATACGAGAAACAGAGCTGGATTTCAAACTCCGAAGCCAATTTCATTGTTGCCCAGGCACACTGGTGAGTACAATATTCCAAGTCATCCATGACTGACATGACAGAAGTCCCTGGAAAAAAAAAAGAACAGACAGAAGAAAATACATCTGTATAAATCAGAAAAATAAATGTTATTATTGACTCTCTAGAGAGCAGGGTTACAGTAAGTGGAAACAGGCAAACAAAATAATTTTATGTAAATTTATAGGAAGGAATGCAAGAAAGGACCCAGTTGTTTAAATAGGTGTGCAGATGACAAAAAAAAAATCTGTTCAATGAAGGGAATATAATGATTACAAAGGATTAATTTTAATCATGTAGTTATTACTTGTAAGACGAGTCATATACAGTGATTGACCAATTATGTATAAGAACATGAAATCCTACTTGAAAGAATCAGTACTTGGAAGCAGTAAGTTTGTTGAACTAAAACAGGATCATCTTTTGCTTTGATATTCCAAGCTCTTAATTTTTTCACTTTTATCATATTTAACTCATCTTCTTTGAAATAATGGAATGAAATATCAAAGAACAACAGAGTATAATAGAATATAATACCAATGTGTGTTCTTAGACAAGTCTGATGCTGCAAATTCTGAACCTATAACAGCATCAGATTTTGTTTGTGGCAACCTAAATATTTCTTTTCCTGACACCCTAGGCAAAAGGTCAAAGGTCCAAATCCAAGTTATAAAAATCTCCCTTTTAAAAATTAACAAAGTAGTGCAGCTATAGTCTTCATTCACCAGGGTAAAAAGTTGTATGTGGTACAGCAAAAGGCTTTTAAAGTGAACATTTAACTGTTACACTGGGATTTTTAAGTCATTTTAAGGACGTGAGCACAAGCGATTCTAATTAAGACTTTGGGCACAAAGAATTGAGAGCATTCAAAAGCAGACTTCTTTGGTATAATCCTGTCTATTATGCTTGGTTTCGGTAATGACTGCAAGACTTTGCTCAGTGATTTCTATCTCTACACATACTTTGGCAAATAAGCTAATAGAGATCTTGATTGAACTTTACGGCTCCAGCTTTTTTTGTGAGCCCATTTGGTTGGACTCTTCAAGTAGACCTTAAAATTTTCTGGAACAAGTTTAGATTCACAAACATATTTTGCTGATGTAAATGAAGAGGCCTCTTAACATAATAACATTATGCAGTAGCTATGCTTACTGTACTGCATGCATTATTCGAAGCACGTTCAATACGTTCCTGATGCAGAACTGTTTGTACTGGTTCATCCAATCATCCTCTATCAAATGTGTCCTCCAGCGTTATCAAATCAACACACACACACACACACACATTTGTTGAACAAATATGGCTTGGGAACCCTCTGTCTGAATCTGAAAATCTGATTTTTCTATAGGGTTTGCGTTCTCTTTGAAAAATGAATAATGTAAACCTTACTACTTTTCTATCTTTCTCTATCAGAGAAAAGACTCCATTACCTAGTTAGCTCAGATTATGCTAATGTTAATCAAATTTTGGCATAGAATATTAATTCTCAAGTACAAGAGCGTAAGAAAACAGAGCCAGGAATGCAGTAGGACACTTCAATGTTGAGTTTATAGGCTATACAGCCTTTAAAATTTCAAGGCAGGATCAAGCCCGTAACATTGTTTTTTATGGTCTATTGTTTGTCAGACAAGATAAAGTACATATATAAGTACCTACCACAGTGTCAACAGATATGGGCTTTTGTTCTCCTTGCTCCTCAAGATGTATAGTGTTTCCTGACAAGAGAAAAGATCTTTTTTACTGGATACAGAAGACTAAAATATACACTAAAATAAACAATATTAGACTACAATTAAAAGACTTCAACTAAATTATTAAGGAAAAGCTTTAGATAACAGTTGTAATGTTTAAATACTGCTCTCTGTTACTAGAATTTATGTAAAAATAATGTATTACAAGCTAGTGGTTATGGTGTTTTACATTTGTTTAATAGGGAATAGTTTGCCCAAATTAAACTGACTAAGCTAAGGTTTTTTAGATTACTAAAACAAATTAAAAGTTTTAAAGTGAGAATTTAGGTGATCTTAAAACCTTTCTAAAATCTACAATGAAACTTTCTAATTTGTATCCTCCCTGTTTTTATTGTTTATATTAAGATAAATTAAGTGAGATTAAAATTTTATTTGATTTATTTACCTTTGCAAATGAAGACCGTTTTAAGGGTTACACATCCTCTGCCTCTGACGAAAGCGACCTCAATTAGTCAAGTCAGAAAGTCTTTAAAAGCTTTGTGTTTATTGCTTCCAGCACGGAGCGAGGTGGTCATTAAGGTACCAAAATTCTCATAAAAATTCCAAAGTTGCACTAGTGAAAAAATGCTCAACAAGATGAAAACTAGTCACATCTTTTTCAGAAAATTCATTAGCTATTTTAAACCATTTTTAACAAAGATTTTGTTTTAATGTGGCACTCAAACAGATCCATACCATTTGGATACTTTAAACAGCATTTAAATCTACTGTGAGTACATAAATGTACATTTAGGTTTATACCAGTTTTAAAAGCTGTACAGTGTTTAATGTGAGCCTTTTATCTTGATCATTGTGTTAAAAGAATTTCTCCCTGTTTACTACTATTTATGAAGGTTTATTGTAAAATAAAGCATAACATTACTCTCACACAGTGATTTTCTTTCAAAAGTTTATTTAGTATCAAGCAAGAGTAAACTTTGCTTAACACTACAGAACATTTCAAGACTTAAGTTACAAAATACCACATTATTTGCATTTGTAATTTGCTTCCCTTTTTACGCATGTTTGCAAGAGAAAAACTAGCAAATGGTTGAAAGATAAAACTAAAAGAACTAAATTGTTGAAAACCTTTACATAAAAGGTTACGCTTATATTAAAAGAATGGATTAACATATTTAGTAAACCTATTTTTTGTTTAACACTAGTTAATCAAAGGTTATTTTTGATCACCTATTTTTCAAATACAGTTTGGAAATAACAAAGTTCTCTCTCTTTTTTTTTTTTTTTAAACATATCATTATGCCAAGGTTGTTCTTTCGTCAAAATAGTTTAAATTCAGTCCATCCATTCAGATATTTAAGCACTTTGATTTAATAAAAAGGGAGTGTTCATAGAAAAAATTACTTTGAACAGTATACAGGACTGGTGGAGATTGGGTATTTCACAACATCAGACAGTACAATCAGTATCTGGCATATGGCTGGTCTCTGTAGACTCCCTTTGCTGTCCTTGCCGAAGGTGTCTTGTGTCTTGAGTTGGTCCATTCTTCTTGCCCTAAAGGGAAGGAAAAACATCATTAGCTTCTTCTCAATATTCTGGGTGTCATTGTTCTTATTATATCTATCCATCCATCTTTGGTTTAATTTTGGAGTCCAGTGCTGGTGAGGTTTTTAAGCTGAAAGACATCAAGGCTGAAATCCAACACTGATAAAAAGTGCTCTGTTATAATACAGGCCGGAGAGAACGGCCCTGCATTGCTCGTCCAGCGTGCCTCACTACAGCGATATGGAGTAGGTGTAAGAAAGTTCAGGTACCTGTAACATTCAGTCAGGCTTCTCTGCTGAAACCTGAAGTACCAGCTACGACAACAGACTGTAATACGGACACTTAAGAAGAAGTAGAGCGATAATGTGAAATGCTACCCAGGCATGTGAACAGCGATCAGAAGAACTTCTTTGTGTCGATTCCAATTTAGGCTTAATTTGAACTGGCAGGCTACAAGTGAAAAGCTTCAGATTACACTACAAATGCCCATGGCTTCCCTTTTGAAATCAGAACCCAAACAAACAAACAAAAAATTGGGAAAAGTGGATTTCACAGTAAAACTACACTTTCTGTTCAGCGCAAGAATTAGAGGCAGTTGGGCTGTCAGAAGTCTTTAAAAAGCCAAGGAGATTGTTATCATCACTTGTAATAAAAAGTAATTAGCACACAAATAGGGATTTTTATTATGTTGGATGACTCAACATGCACACAATATTGAGCTGTTAAATATACGTATGTTAACACCCTGGACCAAATCAAAATCAGACACCTACTATGCTGGATATTGTGCAAACACATGGGAACATGCAGTCCTTCTTCCCAGGTGCTAATAAACTAATTACCTGCAACTCTAAACATAAGATAATACTTAATATGATGCAACAAAGGTCAGACTCATTAGGTATTTGGGCATTCTTGTTTCCTTCCAGCTGGGTTTTATGTTTATGTAATGCACAATTCAGTACGAGTCCAACTAAATAGTGATGTGCTGGGGAAGGCCTAGCTGTATCGGTACCAGGCTAAGCTTTTTTGTGCTTATGCTAGAACAGAACTAGGTGTCCGTACACTCAGCTACTGTGTATAGCCATAAAAGTCCACCATTTTGATTAATACCTTTGTGTATGCATGTAAAGGAAGATTAAGTCATACTGTCAATACTGGGATACTTAAGCATGCTGGGGCACATGACTGGCCCACTGTCCTAAGTGAAAACTGAGGACACTTATTCAGCAAATCTGCATCTTGGTCCTCTTGACCATCATTTTTCTTTTCCCAGTCTCACTAGGTCCTATACCCTTGGCCTTTCAGTAGACTGTCTATAAGAGTATTCATGCATTTTTTTTTGTGCCAGCAAATATTATGTATTTATGGAGGTTCACTCTTAGAGGCTGTCATAAGCTGAATTCTTATTAATGCAATTTGGTTTCGCTCACTATCACTACAGGGAGGGGGGTGGCCAGCATGTAAATGGGACTCCTAGCTAAAGGCTGGCTGCCTAACTTTGGGGGCCTTTATTTAGTTGTTATTTGCAATATGTGAAGAAAGATACTTTACTAGAAAGAATACTGTAATGGGTTTTTCTATAAATTGTTTATATACACCATTCATTGATACCTCTAAAACAAACAACAGGCAATTGATTTTTTCTGGGTATAAAACTCATACATCCCATTTCATTTCCAAATTAGGAGGAGTGAATCTTTAAAAAGGTGAAAAATACAACTAGCAAAGGTAAAATATGCCACTGTCTTATTGAATGAGTAAAATATAGCAAAAATGCAGCTGACAGTAGTACTGTCAACAGTTCTCAGCGAGGAAAAGGAGACACCCGCAGGTGAGGGTCAGCCCCATGCAGAAAATGACTTGGGTTTGTATGCTTCTGTACAATGTAGCTAGGAGGGAATTTGAGCCCTTTCGTAAGCAGAGGTTTAAAGCCACTGATGCAGGAATGTGCAAGTCAGGGCTGCAAAGAATTACATTAACCCTGCCTGACTTTGGGAGACAGTAGGGTCCAAGACACACCTCTCTCTTCTGCTCATGGCTGGCCTGTGCATCCCCATGCATAGAGGGCTGGCTGCTTTGAATATTGACCAAAATGTGCTTAGGGGTTTCTCTTTAAGGTACCAGAGCCCCAGGCAGATACGTCGTCTCTCTGAATTCCACCACTGCATGCACAGCCGAAATTCACAATGCACTGCAGCTCTGTGACTAGGAAAGAGACTTAATGAATTGGGTCTAAGTCTTGAGTGCATTACTAAATAGAAAAAATCATCAGATTTCAGTCCACAGGCTCGAGTGTTAAAAAAAAATGTACCCTCATCCAGTTATTGACATTGGGTAGCTTGGAAGTTGCTGGGAAAAAAAAAAGATCAGATTCCAACTACAAACGGTTAATTTTAAGGTTGACATATACAGTGATTTAAGCTATATAGTCCACAGAGACCAATTTAAAGTGCTGTGAGGGAAAAAAAAGTTTGAAGCAACTTCCCCTTTATGCAATCATCCGATCAATGATTTTCCCTCAAACTGTCTTGCATCAGTTTTAAGATGACGACAACATGCAGCAAACCTACGCTCAGAGCATTTATTACGACAAACAAAGTGGTTGAGGTCATCGCTGCTTCAGGCAGGAGACACTGCAAAACAGACTTCAAGAGATGCACCACAAAATCCTTTCGCTTATGTTCTAAAAATGTCACAGCATCCATTGACCAGAATCATGATTCACTTGTATCATTTACTACCAATTTGGAAGTTAATTTTCTCGACTGATCTAAGACTACATTTCCCTGATCTCTAAGCAATGATTATCCCTTAAGCAAAGGTGGCTCTTAATTGTGCTTTAGGCTTCTAATCCATTAGAAGTTCCTCTAATTAAACCTATCACTACTGCACTTCTGGCTTGAATAATGCAATCCTTAATATCAGCATATGCTTTTTTGTTTTATTAGGCATTATTTTGTCCTCATGCAAGTACTCCAGGGTCCTCATGTCTATTACCTACCTAAAATACTTTTATAACCTTTACATAATGACTCCCTACTTGATTTCACACAGCACTAGAGTTGGGAAGTGAATTAACATCAAAAGACTATAAACCAAGTCTGAAATGTGCTCATATAGGCAGATTCAACAAGGACTTGAGCATATACATGTTCCACTGACTTCAGTGGCAGCTAGGAAATGCTTAATGTTGTGCATGTTCTTAAGTGCTCCACTGAACTAAGGACATACAGTCTAACTGTGTCACCTTTAATCTCAGATTACTGTGCTCTAAGGTAGAGATGCCTTGTTTGGGGCCAAAGTGGCAAATCTGAGTAAAAAAGTGGCAGAATCCTGTGTGGAGTGTTTATTTTTACATGGCAAGAATCACTGACAGCAATTATATCAACTCTATATTCCTATTCTCAGTAACCACAAGTTTACAAAAAGTGGGACTGTGCCGGTGGAGACACCCATGCAGGTAGATACTACTGATATAGGAATATGATAACCTATATATATTTATTTTTCCCTAAATTGTTAACAACCTTTAAGAGCTCTATGAGTGAAGCTACTCACCGTAAGAATCGTACGTCTCCTCACTAAGTCCGTGCCCATAGTCATAGTAGTCAGCTCCGCTGCAAGGAAAGAGAGACACAAACAATGCAGTTAAAAATGGATTGAGGCAGCTTCTCTTAAATCACTAGTCAGAGAGAAAAGCCTGAAGAAGGACAGCACATCTCCAGCAGAGAAACAGCACCCCTATGTAGCCCACAGGCTACTTGGTTAGCCCCTATCTGTTCACTGAACAAGAGTGGCCGAATAAAACATTAGAAGCCACTGCTTCACTGAGGACTGCTTTACTGAGGTCTCAAGCTACAAGTGTGGACACTTGAAGCAAGCCTTCAACACTGGATAGGTCTTGAAACAAAGAACAATCTCCTCAAAAGCAATTCACAATACCATTTTTTTCCTGCACTTCCTCTGCCATTATTTCATAGAAGTGGTTGAATAAATACTCTCTCAAATATCATAACATTATGGTGAATTGTCTGAAATTGCTGTACAGAGATTTCCAAGTAATCCTCACAGCTGCTCCACTTCTTTCCTGGTGAGAAGCAAACCACTAGCCCAGTGTAGAGCTGGGGAGGTCAAGAGGCTAAACGATTTTGCAGGGTCACAGAACAATTAAGTGTCAGCCCGGGTACTGAACCCAGCTCCTGTGGTTTGCAAGTGAACAGTTAAATCCATTATCCCATAGACCCACAAGACAAATCAACTGGCCTTTGCATCTTTGTTTCTTATTTCAGAAGTGGACCTACTAAAAATATTTTGCCCTTTGGCTGGCACACTGGGAACAAAATCAAGATCACCTACTGTTAATAGTAATCTTTCCAGCCTAAACTAAAATAAACCCCCACAAATCTATACATGGGGTCCAAAAAAGGACAAAATTTATGCTCCCCAGTGGGCTATAGGTTTCCTTTGGAAAGATAAAGCTCCTTCCAAGTCTCTGAGCTATTCAAATGCCACGTGAGCTGGCATGCAGAGATAACATATTTGGAAGTGAAACAGGGATGGGCAGCGCTAGAAGTGGAAGTTCCCTAAAGTACAAGCTAAAGAGCTGTAGAAGACTGCTCTAGCCAAGGGCTGCAGGAGACTTCAACCTGGGTGGATGGAATAATAGGAGGAAATGCGTAACACTGAACAGGAGGTAGATTTGCACATGGATTTGAAGCAGTTTTTTTTGAGAGCTAATACGATTAAGACTTTGGTCACTGTTTCATGGCACGTATCTACAATTTAAAGAAATAAAAGAATTCATGGAAAAATGCAGTATGAATATTATTTTAAAGGGACAGTATCCACCAATACTGCTGTGGTTTATATATAGGAAGTGTAGCTGTATATCACCTTTTTCATGAGCGATTAGAAAAATGCCAACAAATTCCAGCTGCATAAGTTTGCAGGATATTAAGCAACAAGAGTTATCTTTTAAATATCTAATGGGAAGTCATGACAAGTTAGTAAGTCAAAACAGATCTCAAAAAAGGAATGCATGACCAAATGGAAAGTCAACTACAAGCTGCTACACCAAGACCTTGCCGTCCTTGGACAAAAGTGTCATCTCAACTTGTGTCAGCTAGTGTGGTAACTAACCAGATAAAACCCTAGTGAAGATAAGCTCATACCTTTAAAATAAGTTAGCAGGTGCAGGTAACTCCAGAGCTTTATGTTCTTCTTTCATGCAATATGTGTATTGCAATGGCATCCAACTCCAAGACAAAAACTACAGGGCTGAGTGAGCATCTGAGTCTTCAGTTACTCACGTAATAACAGTTGTCAAATTCTGGCAAAAGATCTAAACCAAGTGTGAAAAGAAAAAAAAAAAAAAAAACCTCTGGCAGAGGTGCAGCCATAAATGCAGACAAATGAGTGTTTTCTTGCTAGACTAAAGCTTAGCAGATGAGAAAAAAAACTAATGTCTGTACTGTGAAAAGCTGAGGAACCAGATTAGATCTACAATTCACCTACAATTTGTTAGCCTGAGTGATGCAGACCAGCATAACAAAGATCAAAAGTTGAAACATAAAAAGTAGTATAATTTTGTTCTGCAACAGTTCAGTGATAAAACAATCTTAGTTTTGACAACCAAGAACTTTAAACTGACGTTTGCTATCATTTCCTACAGTATCCGATTATTTACTGTAAGAGTGTCATCAAGTTGAGTGGCCTACAGCAGCTGAGCCCCATGCCTATACCTGTCAATCCTGTCAGAATTACTTCTGCAGTGTTTCATTTCACAGACCTAAGTGTCTATTAAACAAAGAATGACTCACATTTTGTGGCATGTAAACTGCAAAACCAATACATACTGTAAGGAAGAAAAATCACTTATTTACATTGAAAGTATAACCAAATCTATCTGTATTAGCTGACAGACTCTTCAACATGAATAATCTTGTGAAAAATATAAATTATAATGTAAAGTACTTCAAGCTGCTCAGTGATGTACAATGCTGTTTCCCTTTCTTGCACCCCTCCAATCTTGCACTCAAAACATAAAACAACCCCCCCCCCAAAAAAACAACCCCCTCCCCCCAAAGCCTTGCAATGTAGGCTTCTGTCAAAACTTGGCTGTATTTTAAACAAACATGACAATTTACAGAATACAGCAACTGAAAAAGCGTGTGACCCAGCAAACAGATCGTGCACAGGGAAGGGCTATAGGTTTCCTTTGGAAAGATAAAGCTCCTTCCAAGTCTCTGAGCTATTCAAATGCCACGTGAGCTGGCATGCAGAGATAACATATTTGGAAGTGAAACAGGGATGGGCAGCGCTAGAAGTGGAAGTTCCCTAAAGTACAAGCTAAAGAGCTGTAGAAGACTGCTCTAGCCAAGGGCTGCAGGAGACTTCAACCTGGGTGGATGGAATAATAGGAGGAAATGCGTAACACTGAACAGGAGGTAGATTTGCACATGGATTTGAAGCAGTTTTTTTTGAGAGCTAATACGATTAAGACTTTGGTCACTGTTTCATGGCACGTATCTACAATTTAAAGAAATAAAAGAATTCATGGAAAAATGCAGTATGAATATTATTTTAAAGGGACAGTATCCACCAATACTGCTGTGGTTTATATATAGGAAGTGTAGCTGTATATCACCTTTTTCATGAGCGATTAGAAAAATGCCAACAAATTCCAGCTGCATAAGTTTGCAGGATATTAAGCAACAAGAGTTATCTTTTAAATATCTAATGGGAAGTCATGACAAGTTAGTAAGTCAAAACAGATCTCAAAAAAGGAATGCATGACCAAATGGAAAGTCAACTACAAGCTGCTACACCAAGACCTTGCCGTCCTTGGACAAAAGTGTCATCTCAACTTGTGTCAGCTAGTGTGGTAACTAACCAGATAAAACCCTAGTGAAGATAAGCTCATACCTTTAAAATAAGTTAGCAGGTGCAGGTAACTCCAGAGCTTTATGTTCTTCTTTCATGCAATATGTGTATTGCAATGGCATCCAACTCCAAGACAAAAACTACAGGGCTGAGTGAGCATCTGAGTCTTCAGTTACTCACGTAATAACAGTTGTCAAATTCTGGCAAAAGATCTAAACCAAGTGTGAAAAGAAAAAAAAAAAAAAAAACCTCTGGCAGAGGTGCAGCCATAAATGCAGACAAATGAGTGTTTTCTTGCTAGACTAAAGCTTAGCAGATGAGAAAAAAAACTAATGTCTGTACTGTGAAAAGCTGAGGAACCAGATTAGATCTACAATTCACCTACAATTTGTTAGCCTGAGTGATGCAGACCAGCATAACAAAGATCAAAAGTTGAAACATAAAAAGTAGTATAATTTTGTTCTGCAACAGTTCAGTGATAAAACAATCTTAGTTTTGACAACCAAGAACTTTAAACTGACGTTTGCTATCATTTCCTACAGTATCCGATTATTTACTGTAAGAGTGTCATCAAGTTGAGTGGCCTACAGCAGCTGAGCCCCATGCCTATACCTGTCAATCCTGTCAGAATTACTTCTGCAGTGTTTCATTTCACAGACCTAAGTGTCTATTAAACAAAGAATGACTCACATTTTGTGGCATGTAAACTGCAAAACCAATACATACTGTAAGGAAGAAAAATCACTTATTTACATTGAAAGTATAACCAAATCTATCTGTATTAGCTGACAGACTCTTCAACATGAATAATCTTGTGAAAAATATAAATTATAATGTAAAGTACTTCAAGCTGCTCAGTGATGTACAATGCTGTTTCCCTTTCTTGCACCCCTCCAATCTTGCACTCAAAACATAAAACAACCCCCCCCCCAAAAAAACAACCCCCTCCCCCCAAAGCCTTGCAATGTAGGCTTCTGTCAAAACTTGGCTGTATTTTAAACAAACATGACAATTTACAGAAGACAGCAACTGAAAAAGCGTGTGACCCAGCAAACAGATCGTGCACAGGGAAGGAAGCCTGGGAAAGGGGAAAACAAGAAACATTTCTCAGACTCTTTTCACACCTATCAGTACATAATGAAAACAGTGCTCAGCTCCTAAAACTAAGAACCAACTTTATCTTAAAAAGTTCCATGTTTCTCCGCTCCAGAACCTTCTGTCTTTATGATGTGGAGCAAAAGATGATATAAGCTAGGGTTGTGCGAAGCTTTGGTCACCGATTCGATTCGGAGGAGGTTTGGCCCGATTCGGCTACCGAATCTGATTTCTAATTGAATCAGGAGACCCATTAATCTCTCCGAATTGAATCGGAAGCCTCCAATCCGATTCGGAGAGATTTGACGATTCGACCACAGACACAGCTTTATGTTTTTTCTATGTACCTCGAGGTACCCAGCGCCACTCGTGAATGCTGCTATGGTGGGGCAGATGAAGCATCCCATGGGGGTGTGTGGGGGGGCTCCCCCACATGCCCAGCGGTGGTGGATCCGGAAGTGGACCAGAAATACTTCCAGTTCACTTCCAGGTCCTCTGCGGAACGCACGGAGGACTCCTGTGCCCCGGCGACTGGTGTCTTCTGGGTATGGGGGCGCACCCAGGATCCCCGCTGCAGCCGATTGCTGAGTTGAGGGGGTGCAGTCCACCGCCAAGCGTGCGGGGATCTACCTGCGCTCCT